GACCATTTGTATCATACAAAGGGGTTCGGATGTTACCATGTTGGCAGTGTGGATCTGCTGAAGAGTTTTGAGCAAGGAAACAACAAGGTCAAAGAAATTCAACCTACCAAATACAAGATGGGTTGAAGGAGATGAGGAAGGAGAAAAATAAGGAGGCTACTGGAGAGTACAGGTATGAGATGGTGAGTGGTTGAGCTGAGCTGTGGAAGAGAGACAAGGTGATGAAGAAGAGACTTGGGAAGAATAACTGAGAGAACTCAGTGCTTGATTGATGTATTCTCTATCATTGTCATAGCAAATATCATGAAGTTAGTGGCTTCCAACAGTACAAATTTATTATCTTACAGTTCTCTAAGTTAGAAAGCTACATGACCTCACTGGGCTAAAATTAAGCTGTCAGTAATGCTGTACTGCTTTCTAAGGCTTAGAAGAGAATTTGCTTCCTTGCTCACCCAGGTTATTAGCAGAATTCAGTTCCTTTCCTATGTCGCATCGAAGCCTCCATTTTCTTGCTGGGGATCAGCTGAGGCCCACTCCCAACTTTCAGGGTGGCCTGCGTTTCTTGGTTCATTACTCAGCTGCTCTATTTTCAAAGGCTGCAGTGGAGAGTCAAGTTTCTTTCACAATTTGACTTTCTCCTGCCTTCTTTTTTTTTCCTTTCTATCTCCCTCTTGCACTTTAAAGGACTCATGTGATAATATTGGGCCTGTCCGGATTCTAGAATGACCTCTCTGTGTCCAGGTCCTCCACCTTAATCATGTAGCAGTCCCTGTTGCAGGTACAGTAGCAGGTCAAGGGCCTCAGGATTAGAATGTGCTTATCTCTGGTTAGCCATTATTCTGCTTCTCCAATTGGATGTGAGGTTAGAAGAGAATGTAGAACCCAAGTTTCTGACTTGAACTAGGTGGAATGTAGCTTTAAGAAAGGAAGTTGAGTTTGGTTTTGAATATGCTGATTTTAAGATGTCCCTGGAACCATCTAACAAGTAGTAAGATGTACAAGTCAAAAGGCAGACAAGAAACAAGGCAGGAGATACAGATTAGGAAGTCATTAACATAGTGTGAGCCCTCTGTGAATGTGGAAAACAGGAAGAGAAGAGGGATAAGAACAGAGTCCTGGTGCTGATTCCATTTTAGGTTGGACAGTGGGAGATGCGCTCATGAAAGAAAAGGAGGAAGAACCTATCCAGTCTCCTGCACAGCTTCTCTGTCCTTCTTGGAGCATGTCTTCCTTCCCCTCCAGCTGGCCTGTTTGCTCCCTATCGCCTTGCCCCCGACTCCTCATCACTTCTGCTTCCTGAGACTTGACCATCACCGTTGTGCCCTGTGGCCTCCCTAGCTGGCCTCATAGTGGATGTTTCAGTTACAATTCTCATCACCACACTGCCTCATTCTTTTGGTATTTTTCAGTTCAAGGTTAAAAACACAAACAGATTACTTCTGAAGAGACTTGGCTTGACCCGGCTTATCATATGGAGTCATACTGTAATGCAGGTCACTAGATTATGTGAGAACTGGCCGTCCTGGGGCCAGGTGCCACCGTGGTCCAATCAGCTGCTTTTCTATTTCAGGAACTAGAATAAATCCTATCTGACTGCTCAGCAAATCATTTTGTTCCACAGAGGCTCTGGGGGACAAAAGTTAACTTTACCTCTGTGTATTTGCTGGACCCAGGATAGTGATGTTCAAAGTGGGCAGAACATAGGGTCAACCCTCAATCCTAGCTGTGTAGAGCCCAAATGCTATCTGTGGGTATGGCTCCATCTTTATAGGAACTGAATTTGGGGTCCAAACCATGGGAATGAAGTCCATGCAGGCAAGACTCAAAATGAATAGTCCTTTTCCTGCAGAGCAATCTGCATTCTACGTTGCCTTGGTTTGATTATCCAAATGACAGCTGGATATTCAGTGTCCCAGGCCTTCTGGCTACTCACTGTGACTCATACAGTGGCAGCTTTCTGCCCACAGGACCACCTATGGGTCTCTGACCCCAGACCAGGCACTGCCTCTCCCATCGCTCTGATTACACAGAGACCATCTTCTCCTAAAGAGAGACTCCCTGGGCAGGACTGCAGCCTGAGCTGGAGGGTTGGGAGAGCCAGCAAAGAGCACGGAAGCTATTTGTAATTCTCTGTGAATTGTGAGTGAAGTAGCATTTATGCTGTCAGTCCCGAAAGAGAACTGTAAAGTCTTCAAATTCCAAACATTTTCATTATACGCAGTTAAGAATCTCAAGATCTCCATTTGCTGAACCAAAGTAGAATGAACTCCAGGAAGTCCTGGGCATCTGTGCTCTCAAACAAGCTTCTTTAAGTTACAGGGCTATGACGCCAAGCTTCAGGGGTGATGTGTCCTTGTGTGAACTGCATGAGAGGCCACGAGGGTGGCTGGGGTGGGTGGTGACCCACTGCTGTTTCTCTGGCTAGCCCTTAAGTGTGGCCCTAACTATGTTGCTTGCAGGGAAGCTGACTGAACACAGAAAGGTACAGTGTTCTCAACACTCTGGAACACTTGCCAGATATTGTTGGACCCTAGTCAGGTCACTCCCTAAATGTGGCAGAGGGAGGCCCCTCAAGCTTGGCTGGAGAAAACAGCTGGAGCAATGAGACACCACGAGAATGGTTTCTGAGAGAATGGAGACAGACATACGATCTACCCACTTCTTGCAAGTCTCAGAGAGGAGGCCAGCAAGGAGCCTCCTGCTGGTGTTGTAGTCAAGTCTGTTCAGTTCTCTAAAGGTGACTTCTTGGCATGGTGAGCTGCTTTGGGGTGAATTAAGCCTTTTAGATAGTGGGTTGTATAAACAGTGGTTCCCTGTGCAAGTGGCATTAGTAAGTAAGAAAGGAATGAACAGGAAATCGGAGAAGATGAAGGCAAGGGCAGGTCCTGCCCAGAGCTGGGGAGATGTCTAGGAAAACCTGTTCAGCAAGAGAGACAACACCAAGATGGTACACAGAGGATAGCCAGGAGGGTGTGTGGTGCACAGCCACACAGCGGGAGCGGCAGCCAAACCAGTCCCAAAGCTGAAGTTCTGTGATGCAAGGGAAGAATGGAGGCAAGCAGCGTGAGTAGGGTGATGAGGTGACTTCCATGCTGCACTATCTAACTAGATACCCACATGATTGACCGCGCATCTTGAATCAGATCTGAAGGATGACCAAATTCTTACGCAGAGCAAGTGGGTCAGGTACTTCTTTTCTGTCACTCTTCCTTCCCCACTGCTTGCTCTTCAGACCCCAAAGAATCATATACAGTCTGACTTCAAATTACTCACATTCTTTGAACCTATCAGGCTCTTTTACACCTCTGTGATTTAGCGCATGGGTTTCCCAAGCCTGAAATGACTTCCTTCTCCTTCTCTAACCTGAAAAGTCCAACCTCATCTTTCAGGGCCTGCTCAAGTTCACGTTCTTATTTCTGGGACTCCCCAGATGGGTGAGCAGCCCTCAACCATGCTCTTGCACATCTTTTAAACATATCTTCGTGCTCCTGCTTCACTTGTGAAATTGTGTTTTAGTCGTGTGGTATGGTAATACTCTAAAATATTATTCGACTCAGGATTAGGTTCTGCTGCATGTAACAGTGGCTTAAAGAAGAGAAGCTTATTTCTATCTCTTGTTAAGGAAGACTTGAGAGAAGCAATGGAGAGCCAGTGTGGCAGCTTTGTGATGTCACTGTGAATCCAGACCCCTAACTGTCTGCTGTGTCATCCTTGGCTCCTAGCTTTCATTTTCAAGTTCAGCTCATGTCCACAATAGCTGCTCATGCTCCAGCCATCCCATCCATGCTCCAGGAGGCAAGAAGGGAGAAGAAAAAGGATAATATGTCTTTTGTTTTTAAAGGAGACTTTCTAGAAATGCCATACAACAATTCTACTTCAATATCATTGGCCAGAATTCAGTCATATGGCTGTTATCTAGTGGAAAGGAGTGCAGGAGATTGTAGTTTTTGTTATGGTGACAATGTGTTAGACCAAGCATAAGAAATGAGGAGAGGATGGCTACTGAGAGGTGAAATGCAATCACATGATCCAGTACAAGGTACACTTTTTACTTCCAGTGGTTCTAGCTGCTTGCCATCCCTCTGCCTGTCGAACCTGAAGGAAGAATCCAGGTGAAAAGAAAGATGATGCATGATCGGTTTAAATTTGCAGTCATAACTTAGTTTGCAGAAATGTTACTATATTTACTGAACTTGACTTTCCCACCAGTCCATTTCCATTAATGACTGGGTGTGTATGGGGGGGGGGATTAGAGGGAGGCCGTTACTGAAATTATCAATTAAAGGTCATTAAAGTCTCTTCTGCTTTAAAGTTTATTCAGATAAATCTAGGGCTCTTCCCTTGCCCTTCTCTTGCCTTTTCACTAGGAGGTGGCCTGGGTTCTGAAGGCTCTTCCTGCTGTTCTGTCATCTCTTGGACCTCCAATAATTAGGCAGAGGAGGGCCTGTTGGAGAAGGTTCCTCGGCTCGGGACATTGTGCTGTTTCGTTTTCTCTACTGTGTGTGGCAGAAGTTGGCACACAGGAAAGAGTTAAAAATGTGTCTGATACATTTCTGAGTGTCTTTTAAATGCATCACATAGTTAATTCAAGTGGTACCACAGTGATCTGGAGATCTGTACAATTAAAAGTCCATTTCTCTGAAGCCCCTAGCACTGTGTTTACAACTTTATTACAGCTCCGCTAATCCTCAGCACTGGTGACAGTGGTACACGTGTTTGCCTCAGCTCACTAGGGTGTCTGCTCCTGAGGACATTCCCACTATGCCTGCCTCTCTCTGGACCGATGCTGAGGAATGGGGGGCATAGGGCCTTCAGTTAAAGAGAGTCCCAGGGATGGGGGGCATTCATTACCATGAATGAGTGACCTCCCCCACCCCGGAAGGAAACAAATTAGGTTTTATTACAGCTATTTAGAAGGATATCAATAAAAATAAGCTGATATTTTACCTTTTAGCAAACTTTTCTGTCTTTTTTTTTTAAAGATTGCTTTTGTTTTGCAGAAATCCTCCACCTACTTTACTGCATCCAGAAAACTGGTGTGAGGAATTCAATCACTTTATCTCACAGTGAGTATTTCTTCCACGGGAAATTGCTTATCTAGCAAGTCCTTGAGCGATTGGAGAAGTCCAGGCTGTGGAATTACTTGTTGCTTGAAGTTGTTATGCCTGCTCGCCTGTTGTGACATAGGATTTGTTCCAGGAAATGAGAGAAGATGCCTTTGCACAATCTGAAAAATTAGGCCTCCCATTCGCCTCTGCTATAATCGATCCTCTCAATCATGTGGGGCACATTTATCTGAGAACCTTCTCTGTTGTGGCCCAACTATCGCCAGCTTGTCATGTTTAATGACAGAGAAGACTTTACACCTAAAAATCATGTCCACACTGGGATCAGAGATTAGCAGCTAACTGGCTCCACCAGGTGCTGCTTCTTGGGGGTTGGATTTTGCCGTAGGATCTACAGCTTGGGAATCAGGTTCCAATTCCCAGAATAGTCAAAGGGGCAAAGCAGGATCTCAGGCCTGGGACACCAAGGTGAGGCACTCTAGCCAAGGCTCAATGTTTGGAGAGCAAAACGAAAACCCAACCAATGGTGAGATGCCCCTGATGAGGGCTATCCCACCAGGCAAGACTTCTGGGTCTAAGACAGCAAAACCAATGGTGAGACCGATAGGGTGATGAGTGCTGGAATCATGGACTTTGGGCCTGACCCCAGCAGAGGACCACACTGGTCCCAAATCTGCAAAAGATGCTGAGTCTGCAGGAGGAAGCCATGAGGCCCCAGGTTGGGGTCAGGTAAATTGTGGAGCAGGAATGTAGAGCAGGCCTTCCTAGCCATGCTGTGGTGCAAGAGTGGGAAGAGGTGCGTCCAGCACCTACTACACCAAACAAGGGGTTCAGAGGCCATGGGAGGAGGGAAGAAGTCACCAAATATCTGATAAACATGAAGTAGGGGAGGTCAACACACCTTGCCTTCACTGATGCCTATGTGCAGTCTCACCTTCCCCACTGTCTGGGTAATAAGAGAATCTGCACATCTCAGTCATCTTCCTTAATCAGTGTAGCTCTGCAACCCCTCACCTGCAATGCCCAAATCTAAGAGCTGTAGAAAATGGAAGTTCTTTTGTAGTTGAGTCATTGAGCAGCAACATTTGACCTAACCTGAAATGATTTGAGTGCAAGGCATGACCTAAGGTGATGGGAAGCTATTTATAATCGTTAATCTATCTTACTTAGCGTGGATATTCATGTACTTCACTGCAGATATAGTCCTGTTTGATTACAGTGTGCTGCCCCAGATCCTGCTGGGATGTTACATAATACACAGCAAATGTACCAGTTTACCTATCTAAAATTTGATGAAATTTGGAATTTCCCTGAAATTATTTGCTGGTTCAATCCTCCTGGTTTTGTGCCATGTTCCTCAGGAGAGAGGAATGGAAAAGAACTCAGAGAACTCTACCAAGAGAGGCTGTATTGGAAGGTGACTGTGGAGTTCAAGGCCAGAGGTGGAAAACATGTCCTTGACTCTCCTCCCCCACCCCACCCTTTCCAGGCCCCACTCTGGCATCTTTGCCCTCACAGAATGCGGGGCAGGTGGGGGGGGGGAGCTGATATTCAAAAGGACAGAGGAAGAGCCCTTCCTGAGGGTTGGGCACCACGGGAGGGAATAGAGAAAGAACTGAAAGCTGAACACGCTTTGTGGCACTTGGGACCACATTTCAGACCACCTCAGAGAGAAATCTGAGAACCAAGCTTCCAGTGATTTTTGCTGGTAAAGACTGGGTCCAAAATTTGCCTTTTCTTTCCATAGCTGCTTACAGATACCCTTGATTGACCTTCTCGAAGGTGTTGGCCTAGAAAAATCCATTATATATTCACTAAAACACCTTCCCATCCCAAACTCTCCTTGCGCCTCTTAGATGTGATTTGACTCATAAGTTTACGTGTACTTTTTCAAGACTACGTTTGCATTCTTAACCAGCACAGTATTACTTGAATGGATTCGAGAATTAAGGTCTGCACTTGGCGGCAGAGCTGGAACACTTAAGGTTGCACACGATTAGAAATTCCTCTCTATCACTGACTGATTTTTCCTTATGGCAAATTTTGTTATATGCTGTTCCAATTGGCTTATGTTTTTCCCAACTTTGATAATTCCAGATGTAGTTATGCTGAGTTGCTTTAGACTTGGAAAGATCTGGAACACTGGAATGGACAGTAAACATGGAAATGCCTTTTGAGTATGCATACTGTCAGGAGCAAAGCAAAAAAAGCAGCTTGCTAAAAACAGAGGAAAGAGAGTCTGAAAAGTTCTAATGAGCCAAGAAAGACAAATGGAAATGAAGCAATTATGTGCTGTATTAGTAATTTGAGATATAGAATCATGTCATCAGTCTACTCTTTCTTTAATGAGTTGTATATTTTTTATTTAAGAAAACATTACATGCTATATGGACTCATAACTTCTCTCTTGACCTCAGCCCCCCAATTCTATTTTCCCCATAGTATCTTAGATTCTTCAATTCTCCTTTTACAATATTTTTAGGAATGTCTCTCAAGATTGGGGACTGATAATTACATTTTCTACCTTTAGATAGAGACCTGGCCACCATTCCCAAATAATGTCCTTTAGTTTCTAAATGAGGCTGCCTGTCCTAGCCTGCCTCACTCAGCCTACCAAATTCAACTTGACTAACTGCAATTTCATTATAATTATTCAAATCTCTAATTAACTGTAAGCAATGACACTCCCTGGCTTTGTATTTAAAGACAGGGCCTTGATTTGCTTATAAAAACTTATAAACTTACGTGGCATGAAGGATAGGGGATTAATACCCTCAGATTATAAATTTGACATTATTGGAGGGATTGGGGCAGGGAAGGTTATTATCTGGTAATTTTAGTTGAAGTGTTTTTTAAGCAGAATTATTCAGATAATTGCTCCAGTCCTCCTGGTGGAGCAAGCCACTGAGTATTGCATGAAAGTAAACTGAACTGATTAAAAAAAAAAAAAGATAGGACTAGAAATTTCTTAACAGCTTTCAAACCTTTGATACTCTTTCCTCACATGACTGCTGAGCCACAGTGGATTCAGTCATTTACTTTCTTAGTCATTTACTTTCTTTCTTACACTACTCACTGGAGGACCTGGATGGCATTCCATTGACTGTTTTGGGTCTGGCTGGAGTAAACTGTGTAGGCAGGGGGGTTGTGTGAGTGCATGCATTCAACAAACACAATGCATTTGCATCAGGAAGATGAGGGATAAGGAACACTGGGATGTGACTTAGTGTTTTCCAGATTTGTTCCCAGCCTCCTCATTTGGAGACAGTAGGAGAGATTTTTTTTTTATTTTTAAAGCCTAACAGTCTAACATCCTATTAGTAAACCTGTCTTGGGGTTTAAAAACAAAAGGGTAGTGGGGGAACCCATCACCCTGTTTGGTTCTGATCTTTTGGTTGTTCGTGATAATTGACTCATTTATATGTGGTAGCTATGCATTTGTCAAAGCATGACTCCTGACAGCTCAGTTATGATAAGTTAAACACGATGCTCACATAAATTCTGCACTTCTCTTTAGCCATATGCTAGGACCCTGCCTGGTGCTTTTTGTCACCTCTATAATGTGTGGTTGGCTTTGTAGCGATTTCATTATCAGCCCTTTCCCCATGGTTAAAGCTATTTGCATAACAAGTTTATCTGGTTCAAGTGCCAGCCAGACTTCTGCTTTGTCTGGAGGCTCCATTCACAAGTAGTCTTTTGATAAGATAACAATAATTTTCATTTTGCTAACTTCACCTTGGTCCCAATAGATGTCATTTTTTTTAAGTTCAAACTAATTTAAAGCCTTTGGATTAAAGTATAAAAATGCTTTTCCAGCCATTGCCCAAAAGGTATTTATGAGCTATGCTCTTTCATTTTGCCTTTAAAACTTTTGGGGTTTTATAAGGAATTAAATTTAGGACTTCATCATCAATAGCTCATGAGCTGATTAGTGCAACAATAAAGATGAATTTCCCTTGACTAAGGGCAAATCCACCCAGAGCCTCATGGCTGCTTAGCTGCTTTGGATTTAAAGATAAGTAGAGGATCACCCACACACATCATCGGCTTTTTTGGGTGGCTGGCTTGGCAGTGTGGGAGAAAAAGCAGTATCTTTTCTTCTCCTATAGATTACAAGGTTCCTGGCTGCCACCCCTAAAATAAAAGATTTACAAGAGGAAAAAAAATATAACAAATGTATTTAATGTAAGTTTTATGTGACAGGGGAGTGTTCGTAAATAATCCAAAAACTCACGGAAAACTTCTTATGCTTAAGGTTTGATGAAGAGTGGACACTTAAACAGAAAGCAGGTATGACCTAGAGGGGAGTCTGCTCAGATTCTTCTTGACCTTGTGGTGTTAACATTTCTTCCCCCAGATGTAAGGCAGGACACCTGACCCATGGGGGTCTCCAATAGAGAGTGGTGGAGGAAGGGCAGAGGGACTTCCCTGTTTCTATGGCTTAATTTCTTTCAGTCTAAAGGCTCAGAGTGCCCAGGTGCCATGGGGATAGTGTTTCTTGCCTCCCATCAGAGGCTAGCCCGCAGATGTATCTCTTTCTCAGCATGAGCATCACAGCTGAGCCCTGCCCTTTAGTCATGAAATGTTGGGGTAGTCTTTCCTGTCCCTTCAGGTGACACTCAAATAGGTACAAGCAATAAGCACTTGCTCTGAGTGTTGACAAGATAAGGTCACTCTGAGCTAGGGAAATGAACGGGCATTTGCATATACTTATGCAAATTTCACTTAAAAAAGTGAAATTCAGACCCAGAACACTTGCTTTCTCTGCAGGCCTAACCGATGATAAAGCTAAACACTTTGGGGTGGCTGTTTCCTTGACCTTGACCGTTCCTCAAAGCAACAATTCTCAGCTGTTCTCTCTCTATTTTGTGTTTCAAGGATGCTTATTCTGCATGGCTTTATAGTGTCCACGAGCAACGCTCTTGCAGCAATACATATCCTAACTCAGGAATTTATTAAGGTCCACACATATTCTCAGCTTTTCACGTCTTGTTGGATCC